CATTTTGAAATAACATTTTGAAAATGACTATTCAAATTTCACTATTAACAGATAAATAAACATATATCTATTCATAATTTTTAAAATATCACATTTTACATGAAATTAGTTATTAAATACTTGATTTATTATGCAAATATAACTAATCAAATAATGACATATGGATGATGATGTGGATGCATGAGAAATGAGAAAAGCTTATTTTATATAAATAGATATGTAAAACCGAGAAATTATTTAAGATTCTTTGCCAACTCGGTGTAGGTATGCTAATTAATGGTAAAGTCCGAAATCTGGTTTGATCTGATCCTGAAAAATATCAAGTTCGGACTTAGATATATAAACTCAAAAAAATCAGATTTTTCGGACTAGACCCATTTGGACTAAAAGATTTTTAGGATTTAGATGTAAAGAAAGATCACAATATGGTGAGGTGAGACAACTATTGGTTGGTGCAGAGATTAGCAAGAAAAGTTAGAATATGTTGATAGAGATTTGAGTTTAGGCTACTTAGATTTTAATCGTTTGATTTTAGTTTTATTTAGCAGTACAATTTATTTGAATTCATTTGTATTGATGTGGTCCAACATATTGGGTTGTTTAAATTTAGATAAATATTGGTAAATAGTTTTATTTTTAAATTATCTTTTTGTCTAAGCTTTAAAATATAATTCATTTTTTTTCCGAGTCGAGCCGGGTTAGGCTCAAATATATGTGGGCTTTACGAATTTTTGGGTTGGACATGACTCAAGTATATATAGGTTTTACGAGTTTTGGACTGGACCGGATCAGAGTAGCCCGATTGACATGCCTAATTGGGTTATATACAGTCCATTGATAATTTACAAATTAATATTTTTTTATCATTAATACCTTTAAAAGTTAATAACTCTATAAATCAATAAAGTATTATTGTTTCGATATTATTTAGATTTATACAATTATTTTTACTTTACTTCGTTGTAACTTGGTGACTGTAGATTAGCTGGTAATTAAATGACAATGATAGCGATATACTTCTGTCATACAAAAAATGTTACAAATCCTTTCTTTATGGCACATTGGGCCAAGTACCCCGACACAGAAGAAAAGGTGAAGAAAGTTTGCAACAAGCCCAATAGCCCAATAGAGTTTTAGGGGGCTTTTCATCTTCCCTTCCCAAATCAATCTCCCACAAGGTAACTCTATTTTTGATACATAAATAAAGCTCTTCCCACAACACTTAGTGGGCCGAAAGACAATGCTAAAGCCCAATAAGAAAAAGGAGCAATAATTGGAGATGGCAGTTACGGACACGTAACTTTTACAGGAGGAGGCTTTATTCTACTTTATGGGGCCGAAACTCATAAAGGTTTGTTTTTACTTTTTATATTACTTCTTATTTACACGGCTCTATGTAAATACTACTCATGTTAAGAGTTTTGATGTGGTCTCATATTTATTACAAACTTCCAAGGCAAAATTAGAATAATTATGTGTATCTGAATTCACTGATAACGACAAAAAATGTAATCATATGCATATGCTTGAACATATTCATTTGAAGCTATTTTTAGGCATATTTTTTTGTATCTATATAGTATATACAACATATGCCAGAAATGGGAAAAAGGTTAAATGCATATATGTATATTGAGGTTTACCAAAAAAAAAATATATATGTATATTGAGAAACTTTTGTCTCTTTTTTTTAACTTTATAGGACCACGTGAAGGAATCTAATTATGAATTGCCAATGGGCCTCTGGCTCACAACCTTAAGGGACACATGAAGCGGGAAAGAGACGGGTCAAAAGCAAGCAACGCCGCAAAAAGGTTTTGACCGCCGAACAAATATTGAGCCATGGCATTTTATGTAATTACTGCATTTTAATTGACTAGAGGGTAAAACAGGAAATTCACAGATTCTGACGTCACGTGCGAGTCGGACATGGCACACAATTGGCAGACCACAGCAACCAAAGTGGTCTCAGCTCCTCTCTTACAGTCTTCTTCTTCAGGTTAACAAAAAACAAAAAAAAAGCTTTCAACATCGGACGGTGACGGAGACGGAGAAATCACGATGACGACGGCGACGTTGTCGATGGAGACGTTACCTCTTGGTTTCAGATTCAGACCAACGGACGAAGAACTCATCAATCATTACCTGAGGTTAAAAATCAACGGTCGTGATTCAGAGGTTCGTGTTATTCCAGAGATCGATGTCTGCAAGTGGGAGCCGTGGGACTTACCTGGTTAGTCACTAATTCATCTTCTTATAGTGTCCAGAAAATGAATGTTAGAAGCTCTGGAATTTTGGATTTCTATGGGGTTTCTAGGGTCTATGTTTAATTTGATGATTGTTTAGGGCTTTCGGTGATAAAGACCGATGATCCGGAGTGGTTCTTCTTCTGTCCTCGTGACCGGAAGTATCCGAGTGGTCACCGTTCTAACAGAGCCACTGACATTGGCTATTGGAAAGCCACTGGGAAAGATCGGACAATTAAGTCGAAGAAGATGATCATTGGCATGAAGAAGACTCTTGTCTTTTATCGTGGTCGTGCTCCTAGAGGAGAGCGGACCAATTGGATCATGCACGAGTACCGTGCCACTGACAATGACCTCGACGGTACAGGACCTGGCCAGGTCTGTCTTTTGCTCTTATCTCTCATCTTCTTAGCTCATTTGTTGTAGCTCCCTGTCCGCTTCAAGCTAATCCATGGTTGTGAGGTATTTGGGTGCTTCACACTGTTAAAATTTGAGTATAAAAATGGATAATTGGATTTTGGTCACTCATATTAAGTACTACTACTACTCTTTGGATGAATGGTTAGCTTTTTGGCTTGTTGAGCTGTGTTTGTTAACACTCGTCTGCTTAATATGTTCTTTTTGTGTGTGTGTTTGGAACAGAATCCGTATGTTTTGTGTCGCTTGTTCCACAAGCCTAGTGATAGTTGTGATACTGCAAACTGTGATGAAATAGAGAATGTTGATTCCACTCCCACCACCGCTAGATGCTCTCCTGATGATACATCTTCTGAGATGGTCCAAGAAGCAGCTACATCTCGTGTACATACTCTAAATAAATCAGATGACACTGAGAAGTGTTCAAGCGACAAGGGTAGTGATGTGAAACCTTATGATCCTGTGAGTAACAGTACTTCTGTCAGTCACGCTGGAACTTCTCGTGCCAAAGACGGTGTTTTGGGCAAAACGCTGGTAGAGGTAATATGTATTTTCCGGATGTTTCTTAGTTCAGGGAATTTGATTTCTCTGTTTGCACTAAGTATAGCATTTTGTATCACAATATGTTCATTGGGTCTGATCGTAAATGAGCTTATGCTTTCTTGTGCTTTAGGAAAATCCACTTGTAAGGGACATTTATGGACCCAGCTCTACTCACATCTGTGACAAAACATATTATCCAGCGCAATCAAGCTTTGGTTTTCCTGGATCACACATGGATTCGATGTATTCTAGCGATTTTGGGAACTGTGATTATGGGTTACATTTTCAGGATGGTGCTGCTGTACAAGATGCATCCTTGACAGATGTCTTGGATGAGGTGTTACATAACCATAATGAATCCTCTAGTGAAGGGAAAGACTTTTCGTTTCCAAATATGATGCATTGGCCTGGAAATACGAGACTGTTGTCTACAGAGTATCCATTTGCCAAAGACGGTAATGCTGAAGTTGCCGGTCCACAGGTAACTAGAATGTTCAGTAGCTCTTATGCATCTCAAATATAGTAATCAAAAGGATTTATCATACATGTATTCTAAATTGGAGGTACACTGCATTGTGGGATAGCGGTATGTAAGCTGATGGGACTAACCATATTGTTTCTTCATGTACTGCAGTTTGTTCCTTCCATTGTAGCTTCCAGATGGGTTAGTGAACACCTCGTCGATAACAAGGAGCTGGTAGAGATGCAATCTTCTTCCGGGTCCTCTCGGACTATGACGCCAAATCAAAGCAATGTTTTTGGGCAGTATGCTTCAACGTCTTACGCAACTACAGATCCATTTAACTCTGATATTAATCAGCCTGAGCTATCATCCTTTGAGCAAAGCCCTGTTGACCACAAAATTAGTCCCAGTGACATTTCTGGGTTCAAGGCTAGGTCTCGGGAGAATCAGACGGATCTGGACTTCGTTGTGGAGCAAGGAACTGCACCTAGAAGAATTCGCCTGCACATCGAACAGCCATTCACGCTAGATAACAAGAAGAAAGAGAAAGCTGCAGATAGCCATGAAGAAGAGGAAGTACAATCTGCCATGTCCAAGGTAGGATTTACTAGTCCGGTTAATATTGAGATCCACATTTTCCTCTCAAATGACCACCATTGATGAATTGTGCAGGTCATAGAGGAGAGTGAAAGATACTTCCTTGACAGAGATAAGACAAGTATACATGGTCATGAAAGTCTGTTGAAATCAGCTAATTTTAGGACTCAGGGAACTGCTCAGAGGAGAATTCACTTGCAAACGAGATTTCAGCAGCATCCCTTGAGTTTAAACAACACAGGGAGAGACTCAAACCGTAGTGAAGAAGATGCAAGCCGTAGTAAGGTAACAGATTTCCTTTCGAGTTACATCGGAACATAATCGCTAAATACCTCTTGTTGACATGAATGAAAGACATTAACAAGAATGATTGAAACAATAGGGCATGCAGGAAAGGGAAGAAGAGGTATCATCCTCATCGCAGAGACATGGGAAGCTAATGAGAAGAAGAAGCTTTGTGCAGTGTAGTAGTATGGTGATAATAATGGCGATGATAGTTGTTTTAGTAGGAATGTGGAAAGAGTCGAAAGATGCCAAATGTAGCTTCATGTTTCATCAATTAGATTCCTTCAAAGGAATCTTTACTTGATGATATATATATAGGACCATTCTACATGTGTGTTTTTTTTTTGTATAATCGTCATGTTTAGTCTGTTTTTCTTTGGGTAGTGTTGAATGACAGCCAAATTCTCTATAATCATTAAC